CCTTGCAGGGTGTCTGTTGTGGGGAGGGGAAGGGAGAGGAGTTTGGAAGCCGCTCTGAGACTTCCCTTGGGTAGTGAAGGGCCATGGGGTATAAATCCCATCTCTTCTTCTTCTTCTTTTACCTCACAGGGTGTCTGTTGTGGGGAGGGGAAGGGAGAGGAGTTTGGAAGTCGCTCTCAGACTCCCTTGGGTAGTGAAGGGCCATGGGGTATAAATCCCATCTCTTCTTCTTCTGGATTTAAAGGGCCACCCGGCTAGTCGACAGGGCAACATGGTCCCCGCGGAGCAGCTGAAGCCTTTTAAATCAGGTAGAAGGGGAGGTAGAGGGGTAGTGGGCGGGTGGTTGCTCTTGGGGGTGGGGCTTGGGTGTCCCCGCCCACCCCCAAAACACCCCCCTAATCCCCCCGCCGGACCGAGGAGTGCACCTGGCAACCCTACCAGGGGAACTGATCCCTTTTGCTTGGGGTACAAGCTGCAATTCCAGGGGGTCTCCAGGCCCCACCTGGAGGGTGGCGACTCTAACGGGAGGCGTCTGCAAGAACCCGCTTGTTCAGCAGCGGCTTGTCTTAGAACAGCCTGATGTTTTGTGGGGAAAAACCCACCCCACCCCCCGTTTTGTGCTCCGTCTTGCCCGTGTTGGCAGTTGTTCTGTGGTTGACTGCACCCCACAGCGACCATTTTGCGGCGGCCCTCCCTGCCCACAGTCAAAATCCCAGAAGGGAGCCGGGGGGTCAAGGGTGTCGGTGACGTTAAGAACATAGGGTTGCCAACCTCCAGGTAGTGGCTGGAGACCTGGGATTACAACCGATCTCCAGGTGGCAGAGAGATCCGTCCCCCTGGAGGAAACGGCTGCTTCGGAAGGCTGACTGTGCGGCATTATACCCCACTGTGGTCCCTCCCCTCCCCAAACTCTTTCCAGCCTCCCGCTCCCCCCAAATCTCCAGGAATTTCCTAACCTGGACCTGGCAACAGGGGTCATTTCCTGCGGGAGCGCACAGGAGTGGAGCTTCGACAGTAAGGAGCCCAGGGGGCGGGCACATGCAACAAGCCCCGCCCCCTGCTCCCAGCAACCCTCAGTCGGGCCACGAGGAACAAGAAGCAGCCAGGTAAGTTACAGAAGAAGAAGAAGAGAAGAAGAAGAGATTGGATTTATACCCCACCCTTCACTACCCAAAGGAGTCTCAGAGCAGCTTACAAACTCCTTTCCCTTCCCCTCCCCACAACAGACACCCCGTGAGGTAGGTGGGGCTGAGAGAGCTCTTGACAGAAACTGCTCTTTTTCAAGAATAGCTAGCAATCCAAAACAGTCCGGTGGAGCCTGAGCGGTGGGTGTCGCCTTCTGACACACTTCCGGTGATGCCAGGGGGTGTGGCATATGCAAATAAGTTATGCTAATGAGTTATGCTAATGAGCCCCTGCACGTCTTTTTCCACGCAACGACCCCTGCCTGGCAACCAGGTTAGGAACCAGCAGTCTTCCACCCCCCTCCTCCCCCATTCATCAGCCTCTTCCATCTTGACGAGCAAGCCCTTCCGTCCTCAGTTCAAAAAGCCCCTTCACATTCCAGCCGACACCTCACTTCCTCAAAAGGCCTTATCAGCACCATAAGTCTGCTTCGATGTCATGGCTCCCGGCCAAGGGACTCTGGGAACTGTAGTCCCCTAAGCGGTGTCGCCAGGTCCAGGTTGGGAAATGCCTGGAGGTTTTGGGGGTGGAGCCTGAGGAGGGCGGAGTTTGAGGCGGGGAAGGACTTCAGTGGGGGAGAATGCCACAGAGCCCACCTTCCGAGGCGGGCATTTCCTCCAGGTGAACTCACCTCTGTCACCTGGAGATCTCCAGCTACCACCTGGAGACTGGCAACCCTGGTGTGGAGTCTTTAGCAAGGCATCACAAAAAAAAACACCACCCCAAAAAACAGTTCCTCCAAGTTACGTGAGGGAAGCCACTGAGGGACGGCAATCTTCGAGAGAGCTCTAGACCGAGAGGAAATGGCCTCTTTGGAGGGTTGATTCTATGGCATTATACCCAGTGGGGGGTCACAGTTGCCAACCTCCAGGTGGCAGCTGGAGATATCCTGGGGTCACAACTGGTCTCCAGGCGACAGAGATCAGTCCACCTGGAGAAAATGGCTATTTGGGAAGGTGGACTCTGTGGCATTATATCTTGCTGAAGTCCCTCCCCTCTTCAACCCTTGCCCTACTCCGGCTCCCCACCCCCAAAATCTCCAGGAATTTCCCAGCTCTAATTAGTCAGGACGGCTAAACATGTTCCAAACCAATCCATGTCTTCCCTGTCCTGTCACACGACCCTTCCCTCCATCTCTCCGGCTGTCCTTGTTATCTAGTATAGACCCCTTTAACTGTCATGGCTTTGCCCAAAGAATTCCGGGAACTGAGGAGGCCTGGGAAAGTCGCTGTGGGTGATTTGTGGCACCAACGCTCTTACAGATGAACTACAGTTCCCAGGACCCTTTGGGAACCACTGTAAAAGTCCATAGGTCTCATGGGTTTTGTGTCTTGTCCGCCCAGTGAAGTGCTGCCACTAAAACACTGGGTGGCACAAAAACAACCCCTTTGTTGAGCAATCAGACCTCCTCGACACTGGTTGCTCATTCAAGCGGCATGGCTGCCAACTTCGGCCTGGGAAATTCCTGGAGATCTGAGGGGGAAGCCTGAGGAGGTACCTCAGCAGGATATAATGCCACAGAGTCCACCCTTCCAAGCAGCCATGTTTTCCCAAGGGGGACTCATCTTTGTAGCCTGGAGATGTAATTCTGGGAGATCTCTGGGCCCCACCTGGAGACTGGCAACTGTGAAGCTCTCCCGAGGTCGACGCTCTGGCTGGCAGACTGCTCCACCCTGTAGGTGTGAAGAGAGTCCTATTGATGACTGACCTTGCTGTATTTCTGGAAAAAGAATCCACTTAGATCCTCGCCTTCTTCGTCCGTCAGGCACTCCAGAGTGACGTTGCTGCCCTCGAGGAAAGGACCATCTTGGGCACTCAGGTGGATGATGGGTACCCCTAAAATTATAAAGGGGTGCATGTGAGCAAGAGGTGTGTTCTGCCATTCTTCAAACCCCCCCCCTTCCGAGCTACTCAATCCCCCATTCCTGGACTGAATCCACCCCCGTACCCATTTCATTTGAGTCTCCGCTTACTTCCATTTAGGTAAAGGTAAAGGTTTCCCTTGCTCGAAAGCCAGTCGAATCCGACTCTAGGGTTGCGGTGCTCATCTCCGTTTCCAAGCCGAAGAGCCAGCGCTGTCCGAAGACGTTTCCGTGGTCATGTGGCCGGCATGACTAAACACCGAGGCGCACGGAACGCTGTTCCCTTCCCACCGAAGTGGTACCTATTTATCTACTTGCAATTTCTTGCTTTCGAACTGCTAGGTTGGCAGGATACTTCCATTTGCTTCTTCCCAAATTGCTTCCCCTTTCCTGTGAGTCTTGCATATTTCCTGAATGCAAACCTCTTGGGGCAGGGACTTCCTTCGTTTCTTCGATTTGCCTTGTTTCCCATTCTCCACGCTTCATTTAATAACCACGGGCGGGGGGGGGGCCTCAAACCCCACACAGAAAGTGTCTGTGCATGCGCAGAGGGCGTGAAGTAACCACAGCTATCCCTCAGGCACCAGCCAGGGGTTGAAAGGGAGAAGTACGGAGGCAGGCCTGAGGCCTAGAATCGCTTTCAGAAACAATAAGGCCGCCTCGTTCAGTCAGTCAACAAGTCAATCCACGGAAAACACTTTATTCAACTGAAAGAGTGACATTTTTTTAGGCAGCAGATTTTGAGACGCCCGTGCGAGATGCCGGAGTGACGGACCGGGATCTGGGAGACACAGGTTCGAGTCTCTGTTCGGCCAATGAAGCCACTAGGGTGGTCTCATTCCAGTCACACACTCTCGGCCTAACCTACCTCACCGAGTGTTGGTTGGGAGGATACAAGGGAGGGGAGCGATATAAACCGCTTTTGTCCCCACCAGGGAGAAAGGCAGGGCACGCATCGAGTCGATAAATAAATAAAAATTAAAACACCGCTTATAAAACTGCCACACCAGCCACCATCTTAGAGGAGCCCCCGTGGTGAGAAAACATGGCAGAACGCCTCTCTTTAAGACAACAGTCGAGAACTGGAGGTTTTTCCCCTTTCGTGCTGTTGTTTTCCCCATTATGCAAATGGACGCAGATTGAAATCGGGTCACTCACCAGATAATTAATCAACCCAAATTAACATGATTAACTGACAGGGATCCCTTTAATTGGGTGACAAAACCCCGGCAATCATAAGGCCTGGCATGTGTATAGATAGCAGCACTGTATGTGACCGACGTAGGGCTGGCCGGAAAGAGAAGTTCAGAGATCACTTGTGTGCTTTGTTTTGTCATGTGGCTCCCTACGCCACAGCGACGCTGAACGTTTCCTCTTTTGACAACAACGGAACCCCTCGCCTGGCTGACCTGCTAGGGTTACCAACCTTGGGTTGGTAAATTCCTGGAGATTTGGGGAGGGGGTTAGAGCCCGGGGAGGGCAGGGACCTGAGTGGGATATAATGCCACAGAGTCCACCTCCCAAAGGAGCCACTTTCTCCAGGGGAACTGATCCCTGTAATCTGGGAATCGGTTGTAATTCCAGGGAACCGCCTGGAAGGTTGGCAGCCATACCTGAGCAATTCCTGGTGACTGGGGGCTGTGCCTATGGAGCAGGGAATCCGGGGTGGGGATTTCGCCTAGGATCTATGGCAGTGGTGGCGAACCTATGGCACGGGTGGCAGAGGTGGCACTCACAGCCCTCTCCGTGGGCACGCGTGCCATCGCCCCAGCCAGGCCCAGACCATCATTAAAGTGTCGAATTCTCTGCCAAATCATTTCAAGTCAATGAAAGCATTTGGGATTGCTTTCCTGACTTTGTTTGGATCATCTTAAGTTAATGGATGAGCCGTTTTTTCTAAAGTAAAACCTCAGTATCCAGGTCCTACCAGGAGGCTGGCAACCCTAGGTCCTAAAAATGCCACCCAACCCCGCTGGCCTCACCCCCCGCAAAAGCAGATCTAAGCAGACCTGTAGCTACAGTGGGACTATTCGGGGCTCCGCCCCCTTCCTAAAGGGCCAGCCCCACAAGATTTCCTCCAGAAAATGTTTTATTTTTTTAACATTTTAAAACTTTTTTTTTTAACCCAAAAACTGGTGTACCCAGAAGATCTGGGCAGGATCAAGCCCAACAACAGGACAGGAAACCAGCCCTGCAAAGGAGCCAACCAGTGCTCCCTCTAAGCTGAGTGCGTGTGAGCCAGCTCACAGTTCTTTAGCCTCCGGCTCACGCACTGTCGTCTTAGCTCAGGCAGGAGGGCTCCAGAGCGAACTAATGTATCCAGTCGCCAAATTTCCTGCTCACAACTTTAATGCCAGGAGCTCACAAAGTAGAATTTCTGCTCACAAGACTCCACAGCTTAGAGGAAGCGCTGGAGCCCCAACTACAGGCCCAGAGTCCTCACCCGGCCCTGCAGAGGAGTCTTCACCTTCGTCTGGATCATGGCAGCCCCGCCAGCAAAACATTTTTGCCCCCACGAGCCACAAAATCCTGGCTCCGGGGCTGGATCTAAGCCTTGCCCAGGCTGGGGAGGGAAGACGGTCGCCTCTTCCTTCGGTAGATCAGCCCAGCGACTCCTGTGGCTGTCAAGCCCCCTGACTTCCAGAAAGGCGACCCCCACCAGTGTTCCCTCTAAGCTGAGTTAGTGTGAGCCAGCTCACCGTTTTTTAGCCTCCAACTCACACATTTTTGTCTTAGCTCAGGAAGGGATGGCTCCAGAGCAAACTAATGTATGCAGCAGCCAAATGGCTCGCTCACAACTTTAATGCCAGTAGCTCACCAAGTAGAATGTTTGCTCACAGGACTCCACAGCTTAGAGGGAACATTGCGCCCCCACCCCCGTGCCAAGCCAGTCCCCACCTGCGCCCGGTGCGTGCGCTCTGACAAAGACGCGGGACCGGGGCAAGGCGGCGGGGAAGGGGTGGCGTCGACGCGACCGGACCCAAGACTCGGGCTGCTGGCGGGCACGCAGGGGGGGACTCTCCTGGACTCCCGAAAGCCAAGATCGGCGCGACTTACCGGCCAAGGCGGCGCGGAGGGCCACCGCCAGGGCTGCGGAGAGGAGCCACACTCGCCGTGGGAAGTGCGCCATCGCCGCGCTTGCCTCTCTGTTGGGTCCTGCGAAAGTTTCCTCTTCGCCTCTTCCGGCTTAAGTCTTCGAGGGGAGCAGGAAGCCGCCGGCCGCGACGGAGAGCCGCTCTCACGCACGGGTCGACCTGGACGGGCAGCGGGGCGGAGGAGAAGCGGGCCGGGCCTGGCGTGCAGGCCATGCAAAAAATAAAATAAAATAAAAATGCACACACACACACACCCTACGCGAGCGTCTCTTTTCTTCCCCCCCCCTGCGACCGAACCAGCCCCTCTTCCCTCTCCGGCTGCAGAGGAGTCGCCGGCAGCAGCGGCGCCCGGAAAGGGGTGGGGAAGTTAATAGCAAACTAAAACCGGAGAGGCCAGTTGCGGAGCTGAGCGCGTCGCTTGCGCAGCTCTTGACAAAACAAGGCGGCGGAGGGGGGAGCGGGGAGGGAGGCTCGGGGTGACAGAGTTCAGGCCCAGGAGAGAAAGGGATCGCGGGTGGGGGGGCAGACGGGGGCCAAAGAAATACCCCCCTCCCCGGGAGGAGGCGATCTGGTCTTCATGACTTCAGTGCACGGGGGCAGAGCTGAGTTCAAGAGTTGGGTGTTTTCTTTTCGGAACGAGGAGCTCCCCTGATGTGGCGACCAGTGTTCCCTCTAAGCTGAGTGAGTGTGAGCTAGCTCACAGTTTTTTAAGCCCCCGGCTCACCCTTTTTTGCCTGAGCTCAGGAAGGATGACTCCAGAGCAAGGTTCCCTCTAAGCTGAGTTAGTGTGAGCTAGCTCACGGTTTTTTAAGCCTCCAGCTCACACATTTTTGTCTCAGCTCAGGGAGGATGGGGCTCCAGAGCAAACTAACTTATGCAGTAGCCAAATCTCCTGCTCACAACTTTCATGCCAGTAGCTCACAAAGTAGAGTTTTTGCTCATAAGACTCCACAGCTTAGAGGGAACATTGCTCCAGAGCAAACTAATTGATGCAGCAGCCAAATGGCTCGCTCACAACTTTAATGCCGGTTGCTCACACAGTAGAATTTCTGCTCACAAGACTCCACAGCTTAGAGGGAACATTGGACTGGCGACCCCTGGGGGATTCTCTGCAGAGGGGTGATTCGAATCAGGCCCGCGGCTGTGCGACCCAATGAAAAGGGATGCCAGTCGGCATGGGGCTCATCTCCTCTCTCCACGCCTTCCTGCAACCTTTCTCCCACTTTTGACAGCCTTCTCAGAGGAGACGGGGGAGAGCAGGGAGCCGGTGTCAGAAATTGGGGTGAAAGATGCCGACCCGACGCAATCCCTGCAGTTTTGTAAGTTTTGGGTGGGGTTTGGTGTAGTGTGCTCTCGGTTTCGATAGAGAGGAGTGAACTCCGGCAGCCCTCGCCGAACAAGACAAGATCCCCTGGGCCCTGAACTGGATGGCCCGAGCTTGCCTGATCTCAGCAGATCTTGGAAGATTGGCCCCAGTTAGTACTTGGATGGGAGACCACCAAGGAAGTCTAGCGTCGCTACGCAGAGGCAGGCAATGGCAAACCACCTCTGAACACCTCTTGCCTTGAAACTCCAGTGGCCAGGGCCGGCTCACTCACTAGGCAAACTAGGCGATCGCCTAGAGCGGGCCGTCCCTTAGGGGCGCCAAACTGCACCCAGCCCCGTATTCTGAGAGTTTCTTGATTGTGTTTTTCATTCTTCCTAAAATGCATTTAATTTTGAAAAATGGCAGGTGCAGGGGGGGGCGGCCAGAAGGGATCCTCGCCTAGGGTGCAAAATAAGCTGGGGCTGGCCCTGCCCATGGCTTGCCATAAATTGGCTGATTTGACTGCAAAAAAAAAGAAGGTTGTTAGGGGAGGGGCTGTGGCTGTGTGACAGAGCACCTGCTTTGTACACAGAAGGTCCTGGGTTCAATCCCCAGCAAGGAGCTGGTTGTTCCCTCTAAGCTGAGTCAGCATGAGCTAGCTCACAGTTTTTTAGCCTCCGGCTCACACATTTTTGTCCTTGCTCACGAAGGGATGGCTCCAGAGCAAACTCATTTAGGCAGCAGCCAAATGGCTCGCTCACAACTTTAATGCCAGTCGCTCACAAGGTAGATTTTTTGCTCACCAGACCCCACAGCTTAGAGGGAGGCTTCTGTCTCCGAGACCATGGAGAGCAGCTGCCAGCCAGAGTCTAGCCAAGACTGACCAGAGGTCTGACTCCGTATACAGCAGCTCTGTGGATAGTCTGTTCACAGCAAACCCCAAAGGAGTCCGATGACATTGCCTGACAGATTTATTGTAGCATCAGCTTTTGAGCCCATATTATCTGACGCAAACTGAGATTCTCT